GTTATTTTTCCTTTGAGCTCATGTATGGTTCCTGTGATATGCTTATCCCTGGAATTTCCTTTGTCCCACAACTAAGCTCTGGTCTTACATGTAAACCAGCAGAGTCTACTGTTCAATTTGTCAGCAGAATCATATCCATGAGTAAATCACGTAAATACTTCCCTCTCATTTGGGAGAGCTCTGCTACCCTGAAGACCCCAATGGACCTTCTCCCAGCCCTGTCTCGACCATCTTTGACAGTTTCTTCCTTAGACCCTTTTAAATATTTCTATTCCTCCAGTAGTGAAAGGGGTAACCCTGGTGTGGCAGAGACCCCAGCACCCTGGCTCACCTCAAAGCTCCCCACCTGTTTTCTTGGTTATTGCCTGTCCTGCCCCTAACAAACTGTTAAATACTTTGAGCATCACCTCTATTTACAGCAAAAAGGTAGACATTTCAGCACATATTAGGTAATGGATACAGAACAGCACAGGAATAATTTTTGTGTCATCAGATTTAAGAGGTCACAATTCTAAAAAAAAAGCTGGAAAATAGAAGAAACCCTAAGAATTCAACTACAGCCAACCTCTGTCTAAAATCAATGACTCAAGTCAGCCTCTGTCTGAAAATATTAAGTGAAAAATTCTAGAATAAGCAATTCATAAGTTTTAAATTCCATGTAGTTTTGAGTACAGGTGTGGTGAAATCTGGCACTGTCCTGTTCAAATCTGCTCCAGGTATGAATCATCCCTCTGCTGACATATCCACACAGCATGTAGTCCCACCTATTGGTCTTGTTTATCAGAGTGACTGTCACAGTATAGAAGTGGTTGTGTTCAAATAACCTGATTTTACCTAATAATGGTGCCAAATCACAGGAACACTGATACTGACAATTTAGGTATGCCAAGGTGAGAAGCTGAAAGTGATGCGGAAAAAGTTTTAGACTGCTTAGTAGATTAACTATTAAAGTAGTTGTAGAAGCAAAATAGGTAGTGTATCCATTTAAAAACTTGCCTTAGCCCATTGCTTTTGTTGTTTAAAGTGAAGGCTATATAGCTCCTTTGATCTGTAGCTCTACTATAGATAACATTTTAACCTAGAAAAACAAAGTTGCAATGCCTGGGTAAATTTACAATGTATATGTGCTTATCTCATTTATAGGAACTACTTGTAAATAGGGACTGGAATTGTATTTACACATCAAAGACCACTAGGGATGAGATAATGACTAACAAAGGTATAAAAGAGGAGACTAACAAAGAACGGGCCTTGGACACTGACCAGACCGGTTTCTGGCAGTCTGCCTGCTTGCAAGTAAAACTTTTATTATTTTACCCGAATTCTGTGTCTGTGTATTTTTTCCCACAATTTCCATAACAAAAGTACTTAGGGAACAAAAAAATAAAACATGCTAGGATTTCTAATATCTATTGACAGTTGTTAATCTCTTACTATGCCTCATTTATGAATTAAACTCTATCACCAATATATGTGTGTAGAGAAAAAAAGCATAGTATATTGTAGGATTCAGTATTATCTGTAGTTTCAGTCACTGGGAAACTTGGAATGTATTACTGACAGATAAGAGAGGATCACTATAATTTTATAATTGTGAAACAAATTTAGAGTATATTTTATTTTAATATAAAAGATAAAATACTGAAGATGCATTGATGTATTATACCAGAAGAATCAGAGAGCAGTGACTAATCCTTCTATTTCTTGAAGGCTGAATAGTAGTATAGCCAGAACTGCCTATGCATCCTGGCAGCTTTGAATGTTCACTAGAATGTGTCAAGGGATTCATTTATAAGTGACATGTACTTTTAGGTGGCAATATATACAGTATGTTTAGATATCCCCTTAGGGCATGCTTTTATATGACAGTCCAGCTCCTTATCAAATACTTTCACCTTGCTATTCATTTGGGTTGGAATTACTCTAAGGAAATGACTTTTTGACTCCATGGCATTCTGTTGCATTGTAAAGATTTGGATACTATGTCATTATCCCACAAAATGGTTTAGCAATTTAATGTGAATATTTTTCAAAGCAGGGTGAATTGTCTACATACAAAAAGTTTCTAGAAAAAAATGTCTTCAATATTAAAAAAACTAATACTAACCTTTAGAATTTAGTATTATATATATATATTTAACTTTCTAAAAAAGTAATTGTATTGATATGTTTTAGATATACATAATGATCATATTCATCATAGGGAATTTGTACCTGTACATAATATATCTTGATTCTTCTTTTTTCTCCAATCCCCTCCCTTCCCTTGAACCCCTCTTTCCCTCTTAATTTACAAAAATTTTGCTTCCATTTTTTCTTCTATTCTCTTTTCTCTTTTTCCTTCCTTCCTTTCCCCCTCTCCCCCTCCCTTGTTCCCTTCCCATTTGAATATTTGCTTCCTATTTCCCAATAATTATTATCCATTTTGGTCCTTATTTATCCTTTCATTTTCTCACACCAAAGAAACAATGGAAAATCATAAAACAAACTAAAATATTTTCAGAAATTAACAGACACATTTTTTAAAAGAAGATTTAAACATATTAATCTTACTGCAGTTTCATATGTAGCTTCTAGATTAGAGAAAAAATAAGGAATAAGGAAAGACTGATAAATCTGTATGGATAAACAATAGTGTGTTATACCTATGCATATAAATCAGATTTCCTATTACACATCTGAAAGCATATTCCTTGGCATTTAGGTGCTGTCCTTTGTTTGAATTCAGGGTCAAGTTTACCTTTTTGAATTAGACTCTACAATTTTATTTTTATTTTTTTCTCATGCTAATCTTCAGACTTTCTAAAAAATATAATTCAAATGTGCTCAAAAATACCATTTGAAAATTTCAGATAGGTAAGTTAAAGAATAACAATTAATAGACTTATCAAATAAGGTAAGATCACTACATTAGTAACCTTAAATGAGCCCTGCCTCCTCATACCCTTGCCTTTCTGTACCTTCTCCCATGTTGATTTTGGGTTTGTCCATCTGACTTACTGTAGCCAGTGAGATCATGATAACAATGACTAGAATAAGGGATTGAAAAATGCTTACATGCTGAGACTTGTCTTTGAATCTAGCTGCCTTGCTATAAGAGAAACCATCAAGGTTTCTGCAGAACAATAAGCCATATGGAGGAGAATGGGAGCTGAAAGCCAGCAGCAGACAGTATTTTGAGGCCTCCATACATGTCTCAGTTCTGGTAGAGTCTGGGTAAAAGGCTCACCTGAGTAACCCTAGCCTATATTGTATGGAGCAGGACAGCTACTTAGCTGAGTCTTGCCCAAATTCCTGGCCCACAGAACTCTAAGTAATACATTGGTACTATTTTAAGTACAGTAAATCCCCAACTTACTAACATTTGATTTTCAAACTTTCACAGATAAGATCAGACCTCGCATTACTCACAGATGAGAACAAATTGTGGAAGTAGCTCACGTGTCTGCCAGACATTGTCACAGTTGTGCTATTGTGTGCTTACTATACAGTGTGACAGTATGTACAGTGCTCAATTAGAAGCGAGGGGAAAGGCAGTGGTGATGTGGAGGGGGCTGCTAGGAAGCATAAAGCAATAACCATGGAAACAAAAGTGAAGAAACAGTATTGTACTATACCACCATTTTAAGATAACTGTAAAAGTAAAAATAGTTTATTTACAGTATTTTTGTGTGTGTGTTTGGTTTTTTAATGCTTTACATTGTATATTTGTGTCAAAGGTGTATAAAACTCACTTTGTCAGACTTACAAATGTTCTCCCAGAATGAAACTTGTTCATAAGTCAGGGACTTACTATAGTTAACTTTGGAGTAATTTGTCACATAATGGACAACATAAGTGATAGATAATGGATATAGTAAATGATAACAAGGCTCTTTCAAAGTTGTAGAAACTTTCTAGAAAGAAATAATTCCAAATTACATTCTTTACTTACATAACCTTTTTATATTTCCACTTTGTTTGTTATTTTAGGTATACATTATGATCACATTCAACATTGGGAATTTGTACCTGTACACGATATATCTTAGTTCTTGTTTTTCCCCCATTCCTCTTCCCTCCCTTAAACCATTCCACCACTCCCTATTTACAAAAATTTTATTTCTATTTTTTCCTTCTTTTTTCATGCTTTTTTTCTTTCCCTTCTTTCCTCCCCTCCTCCACTTCCTCTTCCCCTTTGGTCCTTTTCTTATAGTTTCTCTAGTGTGAGAAATTGAAAATGTAAATGAGGACCAAGATGTTCAATTTGTCTGTTATTGAGCCTACACCTCTTATTCTTATTAACGAGTTGGGAAGAAGAACAGAGATAGTTAGTTTAGGTGAAAAGTGTGGTTGGTAGTGGCTGCACTGTTGTTTTGACCACAACTAAATGGCAAGTCCTTGGTAGGGCTCAAGGGAATAGCACTTCTGATGATGCTGTGAACTGTAAATGTAGTCTCCTACACATTGTGGTCAAACTGTAGGCAGCACAGCCTGGTGGAAAGGAATTACCCTAAAAGAATCTCTGCCATGTATACCTTCTATGGTCTAATTAAGGCAATTCTCTTCTCTGTTTCTTCATAGAGTACTGTATCTCAATACAATGCTAAGAGTTGCTTGAGGAATTTGATCTTTAAAGAGCAATTATTTGAAATGTGATGGTTACTAGGTTTTCATTCTTCTTTCTTTGGAACTAATGTGCATTAGTACAAGAGTGCATTAGGAACAGAGCTTGAAGTAGCTAATGCACAAGGTAGCACTTCTGGGAGATCACGATGTTCATTAAATAATATGGATGGTACCTCAAGTTAGAAACTATACTATAGCAACTAAGTGGTTCTAAATAAAATGTCTGGATACAAAGAAGAAAAAGATGTAACCTGCCCATATGTATGACTAATGATACCATAATTGCTATCTCCACTGCTAAGGTTAATCTGGCTCTGTCTACCATGTATGTAGGTACAAAGTGCCAGTGAAGAAGAGAATCAATCAGATGATGACACAAAAGTAACACTTACAGAGAGTAGTATTTGGACAGCACTGTGGATGACCTCTAGGTACTGGAAGTCGACGACACAGCCCGTGACAGAGACATAAGTGTAATCATCCATCATGCCATGGGCCGATGGAGGCAGCACTCTCCGGACACAACCAGGCCCATGCTCCCGCCACCATGACCGGTGAACGGAGATATTGAATGTCATCAGGTCTGTATCCTAGATGGACAGGAGATAAGAGACAAAAAAGAGACAGTCCTATTATATCAGGTCTTTGGTTTGACTTTGAGAAGATTTCAGGATGGATGAAATTGTTGACATGATATCAATTTTAAATGAAAAGGAAAAAAGACAAAGTCAAAAATAGCTACATGTATCATATGCCTACATCATCCAGTTATTATTTTTCAATGTAGAAATACATTGGTAACATGTTAAAGATAGAACTCAACGAACATCCAGAGGTGAGACCCTTCATATATGGTTAAAAGTTATGTTGAAAAATTATTGTGCTTATTTTGAAATACTTTGCTGCATTTCCTTGTTATACCATTGTCATTAACATGATCATTGTCATTACAGAATCACATTTACCAAGTACTTTATTGCGTGCTAGACATTGTTCTAAGTGATTTCATATATAACAGTTGTCCCTGGATATTCAGAGGGAATTAGTTCTAAGATTTCTTGTAGATACCAAAATCTATATATGCTCCAGTCCCTATATAAAATTTGCATATAACTATACATATTCTTCTATAATCTTTAAATCATCTCCAGATTACTTATTATTCCTAACAAAATGTAAGTACTATGTAAATAGTTGTTATACTACTATGTTTTTTGTGAATAGTGAGAAGAAGTTCTTAAATGTTCAGTATGGACACAAATTTTTCTTATTTTAGTAACTTCAACCATTGTTAAGTATCCTTGGATATGAAACTCATATATCTGGAAATCTGTCTGTATATCCTTTAATGGTTCTCTGATCAATTTAGTTTATTGTAGGTTGAATAATCATTTCTATAGCTATATTTAGACCTAACCCTTGGAATTTGTGCATTTTATCTCATACAGCAATTAAAGACTTTGCATACATGATTGAATTAAGGATCATAAAATGGCTAGATTATCCTGGATAGGTAGGCTCCAACCGCAAAGAAATACTATTGGCCACTGGAAGGGAGAAGAGACAAAGAATGATTCTCCTGTAAAGTTTTCGGGAAAGCATGGCATTACATCTTTAATTGTGCTCAATAAAATTCATTTCAGACTTCTAGCCGCCAGAACTGTAAGAGAAGAAATTTATGTTGTTTAAGCCACCAAGTTTGTGGTAATTTGTTACAGCAGCCCTAAGAAAACAATATAGGTGAAAAGAGTAAGTCATAGAGAAGTAAATTAATTTGCCCAGGGCGCACAGATGGTTAATGGCAGAGCAAGGCCTTCATCCTACACAGTCTGGATCTTTAGCTGTGCCTTTGATGTTAGAGTACTTTCTCACAGTATCTGATGTCTTCCCCTCCTATCCTCTGACTATTCCTCAGATCATGAAGGGAGCTAACTCTTTCTTTCTCAGTTGTTTCCAGAAAATACCACCACACTCAAAGTAACAAAAACATTTTCACCTATTGAATTTTCACATATCAAAATATCTCCAGAGCTCTTAGTGGAGACAAGAGCCCCAAATTTTCAATACTCAAGTGATGCCCTGTAGTATAGGGCGAACATCCCTATTCTAAAAATCTGAATTTCAAAGTACTCTAATCCTGAAACATTTTGAATTTCAGTTAAATATTGAAGCACAGTTTTAAAATTCTACACCTGACTTTCAGTGAAGGGGTTCAAAGTGCAGGTACAATAAAAATATTGTATAAAATTACTGTCAGATTATATGTGTAAGGTGTCTATAGGGAAGGGAGGACAGGAAATGGGGGAAAAGTAAGAACCAAGATATATCATGTAAAGGTACAAGTACCCAATGATAAATGTAAATGTATTGTATACCTAAAATGTACCAATAAAAGAATTTAAAAAAGAAAAAACCCATAAATGAATGGGCCTTGAGACCTATCCCCCAAATATATCATTATCTATACGCAAATATTCCAAAAACCCCCAAAATATGAAATCTGAAACACTGTGGTCCCAAGCATTTGGACAAGGCTTACTCAATCAATCTGTATTTCTGGAGTCTCAGCTATGAAGGATTAAGTTTATAATATTTTTGTCATAAACAATAGATTGAAATGAGTGCATAAGGGACCTGGTTCTTGACTTCCAAATGAACTAAAGATTACAAATACCCATAGGAAGCAAAAAGGAGATGGACTGAAGCTGTAGAGAGGGAGCTTGGCATCTGGCTCAGGGTACTACACAGTACGGCAGCTATGAAGGAGGACCACAGTTAGTTTTTGTTGATTCCCCAGCTCCACTCTCTGAGTAAGCTTCATGGTCATTCATGCCAAGGGGCCATGTTGAAGCAGTCACCACACACAGCCTTTGCTGACAGGCCCAGAGGCTGCCTGCCCATTGTTCAGCCCCAAAGAAACTCAGGTAAATATTCTGAGGCCCCTTTGAAAACAGTTTCCACCTCAGTGGCCTAGGAAATTCCTGAGTACCTGAAATTGAGATTAGAACTTTGAAAATTTTGGGGAAACTGGTAGGAAAACCGTGAACTTATAAACAGCTGAAGCGAAAAGTAACCAGCATGTAGATCACTGAACAAGGGCAGTGGGAAAGCCTGGCTCCTATACTCCATTGTATATGTTAAGTGAACCTTAGGTCAGGATTACTCCCCATGCATGTTAGTGGGCAAAGGCACTTTCAGACTTTCCTCAGCTCCAAGAATTCAAAGTACCTTTATAACAATGTATCCAATTATATCATTAATAAAATATTTTACATACTTTTTAATAAAATATGTTGTTGGCTTGCTATTTACTTACTTTCACAGTAAGAGTGCTTTATTGACAATAAAACATTTTATGTCAGTTTTTGGGATTGTTGATTTGCTGCATGATCTGCAGTTACCCTCTGAAGAAAATACATAGAAGAATAATTATTTTAGCTAGTGAATTCAGATTAGTACAAGGCAGTTTACCTGTAGGCAAGCTTCAAGATGCAAACTGATTGCTCTGCTTCTTGGTCATCAGATTTAATCTCTTACATTTAGTTTTGATCACTACAGAAATACCACATATCATTTCTATTTTAATAGAATGTATTAGGTTCAGGATGAATTATCATGATCTCAAAATTCATAGCAAGTTTTATGCTGTAAGCATTCGTATCCAGTGACCTTTTCTATTGCAGAATATGCTTTTTCAATGTGACTTTGACTAAAACTTATATTATAACAATAAAACATAAGTCAATTTATGTAGATATTTGTTATACTCAAAGTTTATTATCATAATTATCACTAAATTACTGGAGACTGAGCTATTTATAAAATCAACTGTACTTTGCAATGGGTACATTAAAATTTCAGTGCAGACATTAACAGCATAAAATTATATTTCAAGTTCAAAGTTTTTAAGTTTGCTATGAAATTTTAACTTTGTTTCTGATTTCATTCCTTTCAATACTAGACTTAGACATTATGAAAAGTATAATATACCACAACTCAACTTCCTATGCAAGGCATGCCAGATGAAATACAATACATAAAACTACAAGAATTTTTATCTAAACAAATAAATATTGATAATTTATTTCATTGAAACATTGTTATACATCAAAGTCTCTAGTTTTAAAATATATGGATTAACACCAAACCATGTCTAAACAAAACAATCTTAAAAAAGAATTTTGATTAGTTCAAATGGCATTTCTTATTCACTTTCTAAAATTAGAATATTATGTGATAATTTAAGAATACCATAGTCAAAACATTGACAACTAGTGTCTTTACTACTGTCTTCAGAATCTGAAAACATAAAAAATGGAGTTTGAATTTATATACATGTACTTGAAGGTGGATAGAATATGCTACCTCAAAATATACCACTTTGGCATAAGGATTGTTTTGAGCTGAAGACAATTAAGAAATTATTCTCTCTGCTTTTCCCCTCTTTGCTTAAAAACAAATTATAATTCTTCAAAGGCGTTTCTTCTTCCATCTGTTCCAGGAAAGGCAAAAATTGAGGGCCACAGATGACTTTATACCCTTTTTCAGACTGGAGACTGCACCAGAGGAACCTACATACCAACTTTACTAACCAGCCTTTATTGACTATTAGTTTCTTGAACCTGGCCTTTGCCATACTGTTCTTGCTTTGTTTTCAGATGAAGATGACATTTAAGCCTAATTTTTAAGCCATTTCTTTAAAAACTAATCATTCTGTGGGTTATGGCCTAAGTAGATATGAAATATATATGTTAATGAACTTGTTTGATTTTCTCTTGTTAATCTTTCTTTTGTTATAAAGATTCCAGCTAAGAACCAAAAACCTTAGAAATAAAATTGTTTTTCCTCCCCTACATATCTGATTACTAATGAGAAGTTTATAAAACAAAGAGGGAGAAAGAAGAGAAACCAGAAAACGACACCAAGCAGGAGGGTGTTGGATGTATAAGGGTAGCTGGAGAGAAAGAACATTTAAGGTTGTAAAGGAAAGGCTTTGGCATGTTTTTCATGAAGTTCAGGAATCCAGCTTTGATAAACAATAAGAAAGTAAGATGGTGGCTTCAAGGGTGGGAAAGGAGAATAATTGTTGGTATGTGGATAACCAGATATAAGCTGTATCATTTTATACTCAAAATTGTGACTTAAATTTGTTATTGAGTATTTGCTTTTCCTATTCAAGTAAATATCAAATGTTCTTTCATCTCATTATTGTGAATTCCAAAGATGGTCCCAAATTCTTGGAATGTATGAATGGCAAAATTATTTCAAAAATCCCCTAGTGTTGTTCACTAACAGCTGCCCACATGTTATTCACAGCACATCACAGCATGAGAACCATCTCTCGTGCCCAGAACATCAATGTTCACTCATTTATTCTGCACTACTGTACAATTTCTCATTAACCAAGAAACTAGACTCTCTCTTTTTTTTGTTGTTGTTTCAGTTATCTGCCATTCTGGTATGTGTTTAACTTTTAGTAATTCTCTCTGTTTCTAGATCAGACTCCCAACTGCTAATATTCAGTTTTTCTTTCTCCTTCACTGTAGCTCAAAGGAGTTTTTATGTAGCTGTCTACTTTCTTTGTCTTTTC